GGGGGGGGGGGGGGGGGGGGGGGGGGGGGGGGGGGGGGGGGGGGGGGGGGGGGGGGGGGGGGGGGGAGGCAGAGTCCAATCACCCTTCAGGCCTTCCAGCTGCAGCTGTGGGCCCCTCCCACCTCCTCAGACCCTCCCTGCCACCCCTCTCCTCTCCGGCCCAGCTGTGCAGGGCGCAAACTGTTTGGGCAGCTGCAGCTTTGGGCACCAGGTACCCCCTTGGTGGTAGGGAACCGCTGCCCCCCCCCCCCCTCCCGGGGCGGGGGTGTGTGGGGTTCGCGTGGTGTGGCCCCGGGGGGGGGGGGGTGGGGGGGGGGAGGCAGAGTCCAATCACCCTTCAGGCCTTCCAGCTGCAGCTGTGGGCCCCTCCCACCTCCTCAGACCCTCCCTGCCACCCCTCTCCGGCCCAGCTGTGCAGGGCGCAAACTGTTTGGGCAGCTGCAGCTTTGGGCACCAGGTACCCCCTTGGTGGTAGGGAACCGCTGCCCCCCCCCCCCCCTTCCAGGGTGAAACCACCAGGAGGCCATCTTACCAGGGAGCCCGGAAAGGGCCTTGACATGGTCCAAGTGCCCTCTAGTGGCGGGAGCCGGCACTTCAGGAAAGGGCAGGGAAATGGGGGGGGGGACTCAACTGACCCACCAGAGACCCCCGGAGGTGCTGGGTGGGGGGAGCTCACCGCGTGGATGTAGCCCTTTGCGGCCGGCAGCTCCCACAACAGGCAGACTGGCAGGACGAAGGCGGCAGCGGCTGGCAGGAGGTGCCTGGGCTGCATCCTCAAGCGTGGGGGGGCAGCCGGAGCTCCTGGGAGAATGGGGGGCAGAGCCCGTCAGGCAAAGCTCCCTCTAGGAGGGCCCGCCAGACCAGCCGGGTCCTGAGCCCCACCAGGGACTAGCAGCACCGCTTGTCCTGCTAGGCAGCTATTGCCTGCACCCCTCCTCCTCCTCCTCATCCGAATGAACTCGGAAAGATCACCGGCCCATCGTGCCCCCCCCCCCGGACTCCCTGCCTCCCGTTGCCCACGCGCACGACAGAGACCGGCATTCAGCTCTGGCATGCCGGGGGCACACAGAGCCTCCAGACAGCCTGGCAAAGAGCTGCTGATGGACAAAAAGGCCTCCCAGCGCCAATCCGGTTGATGGAAGGAGAGGGGGAGGGGAAAGGGGGGGGGGGAAATGCCTCTGCCCCAAATCTGAGCACCCATCAGATCATGCAGCCTTTTGAGTCCGTCCCCCCCCGCCCGATCGCTCCTGGGGGGGCTGCAGATGCAGATAAGGGGCAATTGGCCTCCCCCACACATCTGCAGCCCTCCTCCTCCTCCTCCTCCTGGACCCCAAGCACCTCTCCTGCCCACTGGATCAGAACTGCCCCTTCTGGAACGGAGGGCAGGAACCCCCTCTGAGCGGCTCCTTTGCAAGGGCACCTGGTGGGCACCGGTCAGTGGGACCCTGGGCACCAGAGAAGGGGCTTTGCAGGGGAGCCAGGCCCAAGGAGGCCTCCCACTCAGCGTGCCAAACCACGGCCTGCTTCACTTCAGCCCCGGCTGAGTCAGGGCCCCCGTCCTGGGCCCTGAAGGAGCCGAGCGGGGTGCTCAGGCCCACCGCAAGGAGGCTTCCTCCACCACGCAGCCCAAGCCAGGTTTCTCTCAGGGCCTCATTTAATGACTGCCTCACACAATGGACGTTTGCCGTTATGGCAGCAACGAAAAAAAATAGCCTTGCAACTAATAACTTTGTATTTAGGCGCATCTGTAAAACAGAGAAAAGCTGATCGTAAACACCGTCGCAGTTACCTCTTAACAACCGCTTCGTTTAACGACGGTTCCAATTGCGGACACCCCGCATCTCACCCCTTCCCTCCAGGACAGAAGGCACCGGCGGGAGTGCCGAGGTGCCAGGCTCCCCTTCACGGGGATGCTCAGAGCCTGCTGGCAGAGCAAAGGCTGGTCACTGCAGGGGGAGAGAACCAGTGGGCATCGGATGCCANTTGGCGGAATAGGCCACCTCAAAGTTTCCATCAATGCTGGGGGGGGAAGGGGGGTGTTAGGAGGAGGAGGAGGAAGGCACCTCCCTTCGGCAGCCCCCCACGGGGCCCCCACTCACTTGTTCTCCAGGACGATGTCCGGCAGCCACACCAGGTCAGATGGGACCCGCAGGCTCTGGCCATACTCCTCGCTGCTGAAGTTCAGCCGATAGTCCAGCCATTCCTGAGGCCGGGAGGGCAAAGAGGTGGAGGTGACCCTCTCCCGGCAGGGCAGCCCCCCCAACACAGGAGCCCCCTGCCGAGTTGGGTTGGGCTGAAGTCCAGCCTCGGCTGCTGCCCCGGAAGCCTGGAAGGTCAAAGGCCAGGGCTGCCCAGGTGGGAGATGAACCCCCCCCCCACCTCCGAAGGGGGCCCCAAGCGGCAGGCGGCCAGTGGAGGCCCAGGATGGGGCAGTCCCCCAGGGTGGTCCTTGCCTGAGTGATCCAGACGTTGGTGGTCAGTGTCTCCTCTTTGGCATTCTGGAGGGAGGGAGGAAGACTCCTTTCACTGCTCCTCAACTCCCTTGGAGCCCCCAGTGTCTCCCCTTCCCTCGGGGGTGGGGGGGGGAGAAAAGGCCCCCCTACCAGTGAGATGAGGTTGGTGAGGGTCAGCTTTAAGGAGACCGTGAGGACTTCGTCCACCCCCTGGACCGGCCACCGGGACTTGTCATAGCCAGTAAAAAGGCGGTTGAAGATCTCGAGTTCCTTGTTGCCCTCTGGGGACCCTGTGGGGGAAGTGGGGGGGGAGGGATGAGACCCCAGGGAGCTGCCCCACCCCCACCCCACAACCCAGTGTTGCCCACTGCTTACCAAGGGCCACCCAGCCAAGCAGGAGCCCCAGGCAGAAGCCCCGGGCCAGGCTGCCCACCGCCTGCATGGCCAGCCTGAGAGACGCTTTGTGGAGGGGCAGAGTTATTTTGAGGCTGCTCCTGGCTGGGAGGAGGGGGCACCGGATATCCTCCTCCCCTCCCCAAGCATCGGAGGCATTTGCTTCCCAGGCACCTGTTGGCACATGCTTGGCATCTGTGCGCGGAGCAGCTGGGGACGAAGTGGCCGGCCTGAAGTCCTTGGGGTCCTTTGCTGGGAGTGCCCACAAGCAGGCCTGGGGAGGGGGCGGCTGGTCAAAGGCTCTGCCACCCAATGGCCCACCAGTCCTGGTGAGGTGTGGGGGAATGGCCAGTGGGAGCACATCTGTCCCACTGCATAAAACGGATCCTCTGCATTCCCACAACACACGGCGACAACCCTTAGAACAGTGTTTCTCAACCTTGGCGACTTTAAGTCCTGTGGACTTCAACTCCCAGAATCCTCCAGCCAGCATCGCTGGCTGGGGGATTCTGGGGGTTGCAGTCCCCAGGGCGTAAAGGCGCCAAGGTTG